CCTGGCTGCCGGGAGCCTGGTCTGCCCCACGTGCGGCCCTGGGGTCCCTGCTGTGCTTGGTGGAGGGGAGGAGCCGACCATGGGCCTGGCACCGGCACGCGCTCACCAAGCAGTGGCCACTCTTCGGTCTCCTCCAGCTCCTTCGCCCCCCGAGTCTCTGCTCCCACCACCAAGCCAGGCCCAGAGACTCAGGGCCCCCGTTCTCTGGCCATGACCCTCTCCCCAGTGGGTGGGTGTGCATGGGCGTGGCCGAGGAGCAAGTGGGACCCTGCGGGGCCTGCTGGTGTCTGTCAGGCATTGGCGCTGCTTCTTCCCTGCTAGTTCTGCATGTGAGCGTGGTTTTAGGGGGCGGGGTTTCGAGGGGAGCAGTGCTTGAGGCTCAGCTCCCATGGGTGCCGGCTGAGGGAGCAGCACACGCCAACGAAGGAGCCCCCCTCTGCCTGTGGGTGCCAGGGCCTGGGGCTAGGTGCTGTGCATTTGGGCCAATCACTGCCCTCTCTGAGCCTCAGACAAAGGAGAGAAAGTGCCAACAGGCTGTGCCAATCGCAGGGCAGCAGCTACGGTCATTCCTGCACAGGGCGTGGCCTGAGGGCCTCGGGAAGAGTCCAGCGGGAGAGGGAATAGCCACCCCGTGGGTCAGAGGCAGGACTGGGCAGCCTGGGAGGGCGGGGCAGGCTGGGTGTGCCTGGGGGCGGTGGGGGACTTCAGGGAGAGGTCAGGGGTTAGAAGGACACGTCCCCCTGACCCCTCTCAGAGATTCTTTATACAATTCTAATCGCTCTAGAAAGCCGCTGTTCTGGGACCCGGGCCTGGAGGCTGTGTTCTCGGGGACTGCATCCGGATCTGGGCTCTAGGGCGGGCGGCCTCCCAGCTGGGCACCCCTCTCAGCGCCATCCCCTGGGCCCTGGGCCCTGATACCTTCTTTCCCAGCTTCTTCCAGAGCTGGTGCAGCTGCCCGGCCCAGGGGCGCAGCTTGGAGTCCGCGATCTTCTCTAGGAATCGGGGGCTGGAAAGACAGGGGCCGGCAGGGGTCAGGGGCAGCCCCGTTGGAGGGCCCTCTCTGCTCCTCCTCCGGGTTGTACCTGTCTTTCCAGTCCTCAGGGACCCAGGGCTGCAGCTCCTGCCCCGCGGCCTGGAAGTGCTCTTGGAGGAAGGCCTGCAGCTGCGGCCTGGGGACGCTGTGGTTGTGGGCGCTGGCCAGCGTGCGGAAGTGCTGCAGGACCTGGTCTGGGGCGGAGACACAGGGGGCATTCGTGGGACCCGTGACCCCCTCCCTGATGGAGGGTCTGGCCCCTGCTGTCTTTGGCGGGAAATTCAGGAGCAGGTGGGGTCCCGGGCGCCTTACCTGGAGCGGAGGACAGCGGCATGTCCACGAACTGCTTGTCGTCCTGGTAGAGCTTGGCCATCTGCACCTGGTGCAGGAGCTCCCCGTGGCAGTAAATCTGGCTGCAGAGAGAGTCGGGGAGGGGCGGGTCAGGCCACGTCATCTGGGGAGAACGGCCAGATAGCTCTGGGCACAGTCCCCCACGGACACGGGCACGGGCTGTGTGCGCCTGAGCACAGGTGTGGGAGGGCTTCGCGGGTGCTGGTGACATACAGGCTAAGAGAAGTAGGAGGGTCTTTGTGCAGCGAAGGACCCAAACCATTTCCTGAGCCCACAGTGGTTGTTGATTTGGAACAGTAGAGCACTCGGTGGATGAAAGATTAGCACTTTTAAAAAAATATATTTTTATTGATTTCAGAGAGGAAGGGAGAGGGAGAGAGAGATAGAAACGTCAATGATGAAATAGCAAACATATGTCGAAGGAATTTCTTCTCTGATAATGCTCCTAGGGCAATGAAAACTAAAGAGAAAATAAAAAAATGGGACTACATTAAAATAAAAAGCTTTTGCACAGCAAAGGAAACCATCAACAAAACAACAAGAAGACCCACTGCATGGGAGAACATATTTGCCAATGATATCACCCATAAGGGTTTAATCTCCAACATTTACAAGGAACTCATGAAACTTAATAATAGGAAGATAAACAATCCAATCAACAAATGGGCAATGGACCTAGATAGACACTTTTCGAAAGAGGACATACAGAAGGCCGAAAGACATATGAAAACATGCTCAAAGTCACTAATTATATGGGAGATGCAAATCAAAACGACAATGCGGTATCACCTCACACCTGTCAGAGTGGCTATCATCAACAAATCAACAAACAACAAGTGTTGGAGAGGATGTGGAGAAAAAGGAACCCTTCTGCACTGCTGGTGGGAATGCAGACTGGTGCAGCCACTGTGACGAACAGTATGGAGCTTCCTTAAAAAACTAAAAATGGAACTACCATTTGACCCAGTGATCCCACTTCTAGGAATATATCCCAAGAAGCCAGAAACACCAATCAGAAAGGATATATGCACCCCTATGTTCATAGCAGCACAATTCACCATAGCTAAGATTTGGAAACAGCCTAAGTGCCCATCAGCAGATGAGTGGATTAAAAAACTGTGGTACATCTACACAATGGAATACTACGCTGCGGTAAAAAAGAAGGAATTATTGCCTTTTGCAACAGATTGGATGGAACTGGAGAGCATTATGCTAAGTGAAATAAGCCAGTCAGAGAAAGATAAATACCACATGATCTCATTCATTTGTGGAATATAGAGAACAACATAGACTGATGAACAGGGACAGATCCAAAGACAGAGAAACAGCAATCAGACTATTAATCCCTAGAGGGAAAGTAGGGGAGGGTGGGGGTAAGGGGAAGAGATCAACCAAAGGACTTGTATGCATGCATATAAGTCAAACCAATGGACACGGACAACAGGGGGATGAGAGCATGAGTGGGGCGGGGGGAGGATGGAGGTTAATGGGGGGATGAGGACACATTTGTAATTCCTTAACTAATAAAGAATTTAAAGATAAAAAAAAAAAAAGAAACATCAATGATGAGAGAGAATCATTGATTGGCTGTCTCCTGCACGCCTCCACTGGGGATTGAGCCTGCAACCCAGGCATGTGCCCTTGACTGGAATTGAATCTGGGACCTTCCAGTCCGCAGGCTGATGCTCTACCCACTGAGCAAAACTGGCCAGGGCTATCATTGCTGTTTCTACCTCTCTCTCCCTCTCCCTTCCTCTCTGAAATCAATAAAAACATAGTTAAACCAATAAAAATAAAGAGGGCTATCAGAACTGGGAAGATCCCCCCTGAGGAGCTAGGAGTTCCAGCTCCACAGCAGGACCCACAGCCCAGGGTCCCATTGTCAGGAAGAGAAGTCCCCATGACTTCTGGCTGTGAACCAGCTCAGGGATTGCCCAGTGAGACGAAGGGCTGCTGGAGTCCCAGGCACTCCTTTTAAAGGGCCAGGACATGGACTTACTTGCTCTGAGTTCCAGCACTGGGCACCAGAGACATATGGGGAGGAACTGAGTTGTCTGGCATTAGGGTGAGAGCTGGAAGGGCAGCTTTCTCGCAGACAGAAGTGCTGGCAGAGGCCATTGTTTCTTCTCTGAGCCCTCCCAAAGCTGGCAGGCAGGCATCACATCTGAGTCTCCATCATCCTGGCTCACACTGTTAGCCACACCCTGGTGATTCTCTGAGTCCCTGCCCACCCAGCTTTTGGGCCCAATCCAAGCCGTTTCTAGTGACTCTTCCATACAAATAGCCTGTCTTGGCTCATGCTTTGCACTTCCTAAAACCTCTCAAACAAGCAGCATCTAGCCTAAGCATGTCCCATCCCTCTCACTAAGTGGCCCCAGGCCCAGCACTAGCAGCAGCCGACTCTGGTTGGCAGCTTGGCCTCTCTTGGGCACCTCCAAGCCCAGCACAAGTAGCAGCCATCTGCAGGTTTCTTATAGCTCATGCCAGGTGGCCCTGGGACACAGAGAGTGGCTGACCTTTCTTGGCTCGCACCTTCCAGGAGGCCCCAGAGCCAGTGCACTGGGATAGCTTCAGACCATGTCAAAACACTACCCAACCTCCTCCACAAGGGACACGCTCAAGAGGCAGACTCAGCAGGCACCAGAGCACTGAAGTAAATCCTGCTCAGTGGTGTGGGCCCTGCACAGCTGAGGGTAAATTCCTCCCATTGACATGCCAATAGCAGTCAAGGCTCAACTACAACAGGAGGGCGTACACCGATAACATGGGGGTCACAGCTGAAGGGCCCAGCTGGGGTGAACAGGGAGATTGCTCCACTGGACTCTATAGGACACCAACTACTAAGCAAACTCTACCAAGCCCAGGAGATGTAGCAGCTCCACCTAACCCATAGGAATAAACTCAGGGAGGCAGCCAAAATGAGGAGGTAAAGAAACATGTCCCAAACGAAAGAACAGAAGAAATCTCCAGAAAAAGAACTAAACAAAATGGAGACAATCTACCAGATGCAGAGTTCAAAACACTGGTGTAAAAAATGTCCAATGAATGTAGGGTAAGAGTAGAGGAACTCAGTGAGAGCTTCAGCAAAGAAATAGGGAACATAAAAATGGAACTAGAAAACAAAGAAGAACCAGTCAGGAGTCAGAACCAAGATAGGTAAACACTGGAACTTGCTGCCTCCCACAAACACATCAAAATACAAAACAACCGTCATTCAGAACCACCTGAAATTGGGCTGAATGGAAGTCTCATAACTAGAGAAGTAAAGAAGAAAGCACATTGAGACTAATAGGAGAGGTGGAGGTGCAGATGGGCTGGTCCAACACCCGTCTGTGGCAGCTTTTTAGTCGGGAGGGATATGCAGACTGCAGAGGTCTCCCATGAGGTGCAAGGAGTCCTAGCCCCACACCAGACCCCTCAGCACAGGTTTCCAGAGCTGGGAAGAGAAGTCCCTGTACCTTTGGGCTGTAAAAACCAGCAGGGATTGTGGCTGAGTGACATGGAGGCTACTGGAGACCCAGACTGTTCTTCTTAAAGGGCCCATGCACAGACTTAGTTGGACTCCCGCTCTCTCCCTCTTAGCTCCAGCACTAGGGCAGTGGCTTGGGGAGGGAGGGGGGATCCAGGGACATATGGGGAGGAACTGGATTGTCTGGCATCAGAGCAAGAACTCAGGGACAGCTTTCTCCCAGATGGGGGTGCTTGCAGGGGTCATTGTTCTTACACTGAGACCTCTCCTGTCATAGAGCTGACTGGTAGCCATATCTGAGTTTCCACCAGCCTGGCTCACAATGTTTGATCCGTCCTGCTGATTTCCCTGACTCCACTCAATTTTCAGCCCCGTCCAAGCTGTTTGCAGTGGCTTTTCCATAGAAATGGCCTGTCCTGGCTCAGGCTTTAGACTTTCCTAAAATCTCTCAAACTAGCAGCAGCTGGCATTAGCATGCCCCATTCCTCTCAATAAGAGGCGCCCGGGGACCCAGCACTAGTAGCAGCCTGCCTTGCTTCACAGCTTGGCCTCTCCTGGGCACTTCCAAGCCCAACACAAGTAGCAGCCATCTGCAGATCGCTCTGTAGCTTCTGACAGGTGGCCCCAGAGCCAGTGGCTGACTTCACACCTCCAGTGGGGGCCCTGAGCCAGTGCGCCCAGTGGACAACTTCAGATCACACAAGATCACAACTTCACACATCCAAGGGGCAGACTCAGTGAACAGCAAATCCCCACTGAAGTAGGGAGGCAGCCCCCAAAAGGGTGTCTCCTGCACAGCAGCTCTTCCACTATTCACACCTGGTCCTCACAGCCAATTGGCCTGGGGGTCAGTTCCTCCCAGTGACACCAACAGCAATCAAAGCTCGACTACAGCAAGACAGTGTACACAGTCACACAGGGTGCACCTAGAGTGCCCAGCTTAGGTGACTGTGGAGGCTGAGCCACTGGGCCTACAGGACACCTACTACACAAGGCCACTCTACAAATTCCAGGACACATAGCAACTCTACTTAATACATAGAAACAAACACAAAGAAGCAGTTAAAATGTGGAGACAAAGAAACATGTCACAAATGAAAAAAAGAAGAAATCTCCAGAAAAAAAACCCTAAATGAAATAGAAGCAAACAAACTACTAGATACAGAGTTCAAAACAATGGTTATTAAAGATGCTCAAGGATCTTAATGAGAGCGTCAGGGGCTTAGTGAGAATTTCCAGGAAATTAGTGAGAACATCAAAGATATGAAAAAGGATCAGTCAGAAATTAAGCATACACTAACTGAAATAACAAATAATTTACAGGGATTCAACAGTAGAGTAGAGGATGCTGAGAATCAAATCACCGATTTGGAATATGAGGAAGCAAAAAACACTCACAAGAGCAAAAAGAAAAAAAGAATTAGAAAATGAAGAGAGTGTAAGAAGCCTCTGGGGAAACTTCAAGTGCACCCACATTCACATCATGGGGTGCCAGAAGGAAAAGAGAGAGAACAAGATCTTGAAAAGCTATTTGAAGAAATAATGACAGAAAGGTTCCATAACCTGGTGAAGTAAATTGACATACAAATCCAGGAAGTGCAGAGAATCTCAAACAAGATAAACCCAAAGAGGCC